AAGATGATAAGTGTTGGGTGGAGCAACATTCCAGCAAGATCACGAGAGGGACTTCTGAAACTGGTGTCCGCATAGTACCCATGATGGGAATCGAACCCGGGCCTTCGGCTCTAACACTTTAACCACGGGGCTACCCAACCGTCCCACTGAGTACCGAATGGTGAGATAACTGGCGCATGGAGAGACAGTGCTGACGTGATGCATGAATGGCGACATGGAGGATGAACGGTCACTTTATGATAATTGCAGTTAATAAGTTTACAGTAAACACTTATCCTAATTATGTCAGTGTGAAAAACTGACGTCAATGAGATCTAAGTGAAAACTGACCTGAATAAAGAATGAATTTATACAAAAAGGAGCAATTAAATTGTTAATGAAAGCCGACTTTAATAATATCTACAAAAAATGAAAATTATATTATCTCAATCAAAGTGTAAGTAAATAAGATCTAACCGATAATTCAATATGATCAAACTGACATCAGAAGTTTATCATATCTAAATAAAAACAGATGAATAAGGTCTATGTGAAAAATGAAATATATAATATTAAGGCAAGAAATGTGACGACCCGATCCAGATGCACAAGTGACCTATGACGTGACTACATTGCTTTGTTTTACGGATATCAGACATCATCACCAGCTTCCCCCGACACGTCATATTGTTAGTCACAGACCCAAACACGGAAACGACCTGTCACTGAGCGGAAGTTGACAGAGCCGACTGATACAGGTTGCACAATCATTCCGCACAATCAGGTGAACAATATGAGTCAGTATCATGTTTACACGTAATCCATACAGTCCACAAATAGTATAACCCCAATTTACTAATCAGTCATTTTATGGCCCCTTTGGGACTTTAACGATTATTAAATGAGGGAAAAGTGTCAAAATATATAACTACCACCTTCAAATACGTTTACGTGTGTTGTACAAGCTTGTACAAAGAAACAGTCACTTCCGAAAGCTCGTTGTTTTAAATACGTTAACTTTGTAATAATGTTTTTATGATCCAAAACTGTTCCACTAGAGATATTGCTTGTGTGAGATCAAACCAGATCTGCTAGGAGATATCGTTTTGACAGATGTTGTACAATGCCCTGACAATGCTATGACGTCATGCAATTGATGACGTCACAATGTTATGACATCGCTGCACTGCAAGTCTAATGACAGAACCGTGTTAAGAGATGTACAGTTTTCATTGAATACTAGTGAAGAGTGATTTTTGATGGTAAATATAATCTCACCCTCGTAGCTTCTGATGTAAAATATACTATTAAAAAAAGAAACGCATAACCAAGAAATCTGTTGCGAAAATGAAGTATTTTCAAACATGTATAACTCGTCCACAAATAGACTTTAGTACATGAATTTTTACATCAGTTTAGGAGAAGGAAATGTCTATACAACTAAGTGAATAACCTAAGATAACGGAGACGTTGAGCTCGATGGTGACGACGTAGCACGGCCCCGACGTCGGGTCTCCTGGCTCTCAGTCCAATCTTTCTCAACCTGTTCCGTACAGTTTGACCGGATATCCTCCGGAGTCCAGGCAATCTGGCTGCTCTGCTCCCATCCCTGGCAGTACGATCACGCAAATATAGCACCCGTATGTACCGATCTTGGGCTGCAGTAGAGACTCGAGGTCTGCCTGTACGGGGACGGTCATTTGAACGGGGACAGTCATACCTGTTTAGTTGTAACGAGCTGCAAGCCGTGACATCGTGCTCAGACTAACATTCAGACGCGCAACAGATTGGTAATCTCCAGCGTGCATTCTTTGAATGGCGATGTTCTGTGTCGCACCGTCAAGACGTGGCACAGTGATTTGACCTTGAAGCTCCAAAACGAATGCTGATTTCCGAAAGTAATCTGATTTTTTATAGCCAGAGAGTGCATGCTCTTTGCTGCACAATTTCAACAAGAAGGTTGCGTTGTGGTGATGCCTTTTTAATCCTTGTAAGAAATATCATCAAAATCAACATTTTCGGGTAAAGTCGATTTTTTACTGTGTGCAATTGTGTAAAATCATGTGGTGGTATAAGCACCACCCTATTTTGAAAATAAGATGTGATGCTACAGAAAACTTAGGGTATAGCCATCAATTTAATCAACCTGTGGTTAAAGAAGCTTTATCCACTGACAGTTAACAAATACTACCATAACCGTTTCTATTCTTTATGAAAGAATATGTTGATGAAAATGTGATGGGACTGAATTTTTACCCAAAATAACTATTCCTCTGCTTCTCCTACTACACAATTAAATTAAGTTTGACTAAAAATAACAATTCTGTTACATACTAAGATGACATTAACACATCAAGTAAGCCTTAATTATGCATAATCAGGAAGAACCCGAATGTCAAAGATTCAGACCTTTTTCCAACAATTCAGATTGCTAATTGACAAAAACTGAAAAAGGCCACATTAGTAAGATTTTGTTTGGAATAATTATTTTTTTATGATTTTGAGTTTATTGTAATGAATAAACACTTCTCCTTGCCGGATACTGATAATTACAGCTAAAAACTGTTTGGTTGTTTGTAAAGCAACTTTAACTGCATTTTAAAATTTTCCTTTTTTAGTTTGACTGTAACTTTTCCTAAATCTTAGTTTACAAACTTTCATCCATTCACAATAAATAACGAATTTATAGACCACACAACAATCAATTATTACTTTTGGACAGAAAAACAAAATTTTATTTATATTTTATGCACAGATGTATATTTTGACGATTGTTTGAACACAATAGGTAATTAATAGTCTTCTTTGATGGGCATTTTAGAAGTTGAGTTGATGAAGAATGATGACAACTTTTTTTATTCAACAAGATTTTTTTATTCTGTGAAGGGCGACGTTTCGACATAAAGTCTAATGTTGTTGTCAAGCAAGTGATGTCACTGTGGTTTTACGCCACTCTTGGCAATATTCCAGCAACATCACCGCGGAGGACACCAGAAATCGGCTTCACATTGTCCCCATGTGTGGAGTCGAACCGTGGTCTTCCGCGTGAGGAGCGAGTGCTTTAACCACTAGGCTACCCAACTGGTGAGAAGCAATGTGTATAAATAGGGTAGAGGTTGACTCGGTGTGGCTAACAAGAGCTCGAGAGCCTGCATTGGATTTTCAGGGTGTTGGAGGTGGGTGGGGATTATGTGGGGGTAGGACTGAAATTTATATCGAAATCTAAACTGCTGAAACATACTTCGGAATACGATTTGAAATATTTACGAAGCATACGCTTTTAGGGAAAACAATTTATGTTTATTGCATTGAACAATCTTTATAGATGTGTGTAGATTATAGATGAGTGAGTATGGTTTTATGCCGCTTTTAGCAATATTCCAGCAATATCAAGGCGGGGGACACTAGAAATGGGCTTCACACCTAGTACCCATGTGGGAAATCGAATCCAGGTCTTCAACGTGACGAGCAAACGCTTTAACCACTAGGCTATCCGCTGCCCCTGGTCGTTTCAGTGAATGAGTGAGTTTGGTTTAACGTTATTCCAACTGCACTACATGTCACCTGATGTGAGACGAAAGATGTAGCGATGCATGTCAAACACGCTTACCAATTTGGTAAAACTCATGAGCACTGACACAGTTGCAAACATAAGCAGGGCTCGAACCCACGATCACAACATTCTGGCGTGGCCAAGGGACGCAACTCTGCAGGTGAATATCCGGGTTAGAACTGATCTTCAGTAACCCATGCTAAGAGGCGACTAACGGGATCGGGTGGTCATGCTGTTGATCACTGGATTGTCTGGTCCACATTCGATTATTTACAGACCGTCTCCATTTTGCTGGAATATTGTTGAGTGAAACGTAAAACTAAACGAACTATGACGCCTTATGACACATTCCACTCAGCCTGTCTCATTGTGTCGATGTACACAGACGGTGTGGCTCGTTGCTCATAATATCAATCACTGGATTATGTGGTCCAGACAGACCGCCGTCGTGAGTGCAGCGTTAAACAACACACAATCACTTGCACGCATTCACAGTCGGGGGCGGTGGGGTAGCCTAGTGGTTAAGGCGTTCGCTCGTCACGCCGAAGAACCGGGTTCGATTCCCCATATGGGTACAATGTGCGAAGCCCATTTCTGGTGTCACCCGCTGTGATATGGCTGGAATATTGCTTAAAGCGGCGTAAAATCAAACTCACTCACTCACTCACTCATTCACAGTCGCATAACACAAACTGCACAAACTGGTTTCTCATAAAAATAGCATTTTTATTCAGTTCATAAAAATATGTATGTACAAAAAGAGGCATGTACACATACAATATATACATTATCAGCTGATATATGGAAAACTGTTGACTAAATTTATATCATAGTGTAAATGATATAAATTTAGTCAACAGTTTTCCATAATGAACATATCACCTTTCAATAAACTCCTCTAAACGTAACGTACAGTTGTTCATAAAATATACTTTAAAAACATCAACAATACTTTATAACATCAACGTGACATTTCAAAAACCTCTATATGATCACGCGATAGCTTAAATGCAACAACATTTCACAAAAAATGAGAATTTTACAGCCAACGAGGTCAATATTTTTTAACTAACAAATCATAATATTATCATTTATAATATACAATAGTATGCAAACTGTAATTAAAAGATGTTCGTTACTGACATGACGTCGACTCAAGTGATACGGTACACGAAAACTAATGTCGACGAAGTGATTAGGGCGTATAAACTGCTTTATTCACTGAGTGAGTGAGTTTAGTTTTCAGCACTCAGTAGTATCCCAGCTATATGGCGGTGGTCTGTAAATAATCGAGTCTGGACCAGACAATCCCGTGATCAACATCATGAGCATCGATCTACGCAATTGGGATACGATGACATATGTCAATCAAGTCAGCGAGCTTGACCGCCCAATCCCGTTAGTCGCCTCTTACGACAAGCATGGGTTGCTGAAGACCAACTCTAACCCGGATCATGACGGGTCTTTATTCACTGGCTGCCATATGGGAGGGAGTAAAGGGTGATATGTGAAGGGGTGGGGGTGGGGGAGTAGGGTGACAACACGAACCTTAACACAGTATCTGTACACGTTTCTTGACTGACAGGGGGCAGTTACTAATTGGGTTCTTTTTCAGCTCCTTGAAACGCAAAATGTAAATCACCGGTTCAAGTTAACAACACGCAAATACACAATCATAATAACATAGAATATTAAAGAAATATTCCTGGGAGTTTTATGGAATATAAAATAAAAAAACGAATTGATGTCCTGATTTGGATACCTTAATAGGTTCGTGAACTATGAAATATGCGTTCGTTAAAAAATGAATCACTTATGAAGAGAATGACTTTAAAGCCTCATTCAACAACGTTGCAGGTATGTTCAAAGCTTGTCGGGTTGACATGATTAAATAGCCCGAACCGAGGCAGTTCTTATAAGTTTACCACTTTGGTGTAACCTTAAAGCACGACTATTAGGGTCCAGTAGTTGTTCACTGCACTTCGCGAGACCTTAGTACTCCCGGTGACAAACAACGTACACTGGGTCCGATCTAGTAAAGTCATATTGGGCGGTCGAGCAAATTTGGAACCAGAACTGGTTCTTGAACATACGCTTGTCACCGGAAATGTGGTACCGGAAGTAAGCTGGGCCCCGTCTCGCAAATCGCAAGCTGGCGCGCGCAAAGGGAGCCGGGAACCAGCTTAGTGCCGGAAGTAGCGCCTCGCGAGACTTACAAGCCCTCAGATCATGGTGACAAGTGAATCGAGCTCTGCACAGCAAATTGTGGTTCCTGAGACAACTCGGCCACTCGCGCCTTAAGGTGAATGACAAATGCATGTATCTGTAATTGTATATTATGTTAGGATATACCCATTTGAAACACCATTAACGCTCTGAACACGATAGTGGTGCAAGTCCTATCATCTTACCGATGTAATTCGGGTTATCAAAGGAGAAAACACAAACCAAAGAAATTCGGAATAACCGGTGGAGAAAAGTAACAAATCAATGTCCGAACATCGACTTTGTATTCAACAAACGTAAACACTCTTGAAGTAAGCGTATTTCGACAAAATTAGAAGTTTTGTGTTTTCCTATGCGAGATATTAACTTTTAGGATGAAAAGGGAATTTTATACAACTCACGTTACCCTCATATCAAGTCACATGAGTCTTGATGTGGTGACTTCGAGTAACTATGAGTTAACTATGAGTTAAATAACGTGATCTTGGCACACGAAAGCGCGCGCTTGGGTGTAAATATATACAAACAATGATACATAATGCACAGAAATATTAAAATTGTAAATATGATGTTTCAAATACAAGAAGTAATAAATACAAAAGATTGAACACAGGTCCTGGTGGACTTCCGTACATTCGTTAGCGAAAAGTGTAATATTTAAATGTTTAATCTTTAAAATCGACAAACTATTTTTACGCCCTTTCCGGTATCGTTTTCCCCAAATAACAAGATAAAAGGGAAATAATAATAATCATAATCATAGTACGAGACGCATATTTGTTATCCTAAATGTTGGGGAAAGAATGGTAGGCCATATCGACATCTAATTTGGCCGAATTATTTCAGCTGCATTTACCGCAGTCATTAAAAATCTGAAGTTTGGCACAAGTAGTTTATCAACTTTATTTTATAAACATGAGATATGGTAATAATATTCATAGCCATGATTAACATAGATTGATGAACTGCATGTAAAGGTACATTAAAGACGCTCGAAGTTCGGCGAATTAATGTCTTATTCAAATTCAAATGCAAGTCGCTCAAACTGAATAAAATATAATACAATTCTGATATAGTCAAGTTTTAAAAACCACAAATTATTTCGCACATTGCACAAAATATATTTTTCGCCCGTGTTATTCAAGAAGTTGCCTGGTAACGATAATACCTATGTTGTATTGATTTTATAACAGTTGTTAACCGTAATACACATTAATGTTGATATTTAACAATTACCAGGGACTCAAATCAAAAGTACAATTCAAGAACACTGTGAAATTATTTATATTTAGACTATACGTTTTTCAAGCTTCGCCAAAACTTAATTTAGCTTATGAGGACTTTAATTCCTGTGTGCCATAACCTGAATCGTTTTAATCAATAGTCTTATGTTATACAACTTAAGTACTTTAAATCTAGCTTTAAAAAGCTACATCATAAACGAATTTAATTTAGGTGGTTGAACTTTCATAATACTATGCTGTTACATCAGGGAGTACCAACAATACACATAAACACATACGCGCAAGACAAAGGCTATATCACATAGAATGGAAGAGTTTTCAAGATGAGACAATGAACACAAGGTGGTTGTACCATCTAAGCATGAACGGTAATGTTTCCTTTTAAAGGAAGTCATTGAACGATACCCAAAGGCTGGCGGTCCTAACGCAACACGTGATCAAATACGCCACATTGGAATTCTCTTTCTGCACAGTGTTACACCTACCAGGATTATGTTTAGAGCAAATCGGTGACGTGTCATATACTGTTAGTCTTCATGTGGGATAAACAGCATTCGATGATTACATATAATGCTACTGTACAATGTCAAGAGTTAATTTGGATAAATGAGATTATATCTGTTTATATTGGAATGACTTGGACGGATTAATGGAGATCTTAGATTTTCGTGATCATTTTGGGGATCATTTTGGATGTATTTCAATCCCTCTTCGAAAAAGATTTCGCCATTTCACACCGGTGACAACTTTAAACATCTTTTCAAGATCATAAAAAGCGTCGTTCTTCAACAAACACATACACCAACCAACAAATTAATTTTTTTCAAGGCGTTATCGGTATGAGACACATCGATAGTTGTCAATACGTCACTTACACTCAATATGGCTTCTGATGACGTCACATTCGTAAAATGACGCCGTTATGATGTCATCTATTATGGCTCATTTTCGTTCCTGTCTGTGACTCGGAACTTCCGCTAATTGACAAGGGCAGTGTGGTGTTTCTGTGCTTTGTTCACAGACATGGTTGACACTCAGTTCTTCCTGTAGGGCTTTGGAACTTGGGGCCAGTTGAACTTGTAAACTAAACGTGTGCCCTCAATCCTGGACATCAAGCCTGACTTGTAGTAGTGTCTGTGGAGAAAGGGGTCGCTGTTAATAAAATAGTTCAAGTGTGGGTACATTTTCTTAGCTCCATTTTTCCTACAATCATTACCGTGATTACTACTACTACTACTACTACTACTACTACTACTACTACTACTACTACTACTACCGACCCGTTAGGACCCGGGCTAGAATTGATCTTCAGTTACCCATGCTTGTCGTAAGAGGCGACTAGCGGGATCGGGTGGTCTGGCTCGCTGACTTGGTTGTCATAGAGCTAGAATATTCCTGAGTGTGGCGTAAAACTAAACTCACTCACTCACTACTACTACTACTAAACTGTACAATGCGTGAAGCCCATTTCTGGTGTCCCCTGTCGTGATATTGCTGGAATATTGCTGAAAGCGGCGCAAAACTAAACTCGATCACCACTCACTCACTACTACTACTACTACTACTACGTGGTCTAGTGGATAGATTGTCTGCTCGGAAAGCGTAAGGTGCGTTGTTCGATCCCCAGCCTCGGCATACGAAAAGACGTTAAAATGGGGAAATTTTGATTCTTTGCCTGACCTTCAGCACGAGTGCGTGGGTGAGTTTAGTTTTACGCTGCACTCAGCAATATTCCAGCTATATGGCGGCGGTCTGTAAATAATCGAGTCTGGACCAGACAATCCAGTGATCAACAGCATGAGCATCGATCTGCGCAATTGGGAACCGATGACATGTGTCAACCAAATCAGCGACCCTGACCACCCGATCCCGTTAGTCGCCTCTTACGACAAGCATGGGTTACTGAAGATCAATTCTAGTCCGGGTCTTCACGGGTCACCTTCTGCACGACGAGGATAAAACAAGCACAGAGGATTGGTCTGCTCGGAGTGTAGCAAAGGGATTACACTGTAACAAGTCCGGAATAGCACAAACACACACACATGAACGAACGCACGCACGCTCGCACACACGCGCGTCCCTCAACATCTGCAACGTCATCAACTACTCACCTGATGCCACGGCTGAGTTTCTCAAAGGTCATGTCCCTCTTTCGTTTCTTCTCTCCCCACATCCGACTCATCACGGTGGTGTCCACGAACTTGAACGTGCCTTCGCTTCTGTTGACCCACTTGGCGAGGTCTGGTCGGTTTTCCAAGACTTGCAGGATGAACTTCCACAGCAACACATTCTTGGCGCCTGCAGAGAAAATGGCAAGTTACAGAAATTCCATTCCTGAAAGCAACCTTCGAGGCTCAGTCCATCGCAGCTTATCCTACAACGTGGTCTGTTTCCTTGTGTCGTGGTTTTCATTCTACACGTAAGTTGATTTGTTGAATAAGACCGTACAGAAATAGTCTATCTCTATGACTGACTGTCAATGACTGACATCATGAGCATCGATCTACGCCATTTCTTTGTGGGATGCTTCTAAATTATGTTCAGGACGTTGCTTTGTTGGTAATCCATGCACAAACATGTCCCCAGTCCCCTGTGATGTTAAAAACAATCATTTCTTTCAAACACTTTTTGGCATTTTTGCTCAAAGTTACCTTTACGATATTTATCGATAATCGATCGATAGTTAGTTAACGACATATATCGATAGCTGGCCCCATGTCGATAGTCGCATCTTACAAGGAGATGGGTTGCAGTGCACCAAGTTTAACCAGGATCTCCATTAATCCTCCTGTGTAAGTCCTAACTTGTACAAATTAGTGCAGATCAGGGCTAGAATTGGTCTTCAGTAACCCATGCTTGTCATAAGAGGCGACTAACGGGATCGGGTGGTCAGGCTTGCTGACTTGGTTGACACGTGTCATCGTATCCCAGTTGCGTAGATCGATGTTCATGCTGTTGATCACTGGATTGTCTGGTCCAGACCGCCGCCATATAGCTGGCATATAGCTATATGGAATAGTGCGGCGTACAACACCAACTATTACGTATAACAAGGACGGCGTATTCAGGTCACTCAGGTCGACCATTAGCAACGCCCAGTGGGGACCATCCCCTCAAAACGTTTTGTTGAAATAATACTTTTGGTGAAGCGTCACTTTTTCTTTAAACTGGTGACTCAAAACTAACGTGACAAGACAACAAATGTGATTGTAAGATATTCACGGACAGATACTCCAGTGAAACTAGACCTTGAAACTTTGCACGAATTCATTTTTGTTTAAAATCATTTTAACCGAAATTCGTGCACCGATCTTTACATGCACCTGCTTCAGAGGAAAGTACAATATGCTTGAAATATACCACACAAATACAGTGTGCTATAAGCTATGTTTATAACGAACACGCTAATAATGAACTGGAATTTTCGTCCCGGCGTCATGCTGTAAGCTAACTCTAAATGCATATTACGAACTACGGATAAAACGAATTTACACATTTACATTCGTTATAACCGAAGTTTACTGCGACAAAACGTCACGACTTGATGACACTTTGCCGTTGAAATACACGACAACGCCAGAAAATAACCAATATCGATAGTTCCACCAAAAATCCAAATAACCGTATATGTCGAACAATCTTGTAACCAACCACAATTATTATCAGGTGATCTGATCAAGCCACAGGCGATCTGAACAAGCCACTTAATGATAAGCCCAATAATATTCTGACATCAACCCTTATCATGAACATGCTCTTTCCTGCATCTGTTGCTTGTTCCCTGATACCAGGTGAGACTTAGTGCAGGTAAATCTAGTCGACTAGATAACCCTAGATAAGGTACTGAAGCTCACCTCGTCGACTCTTACAGTATGGTTTGATGTAGTCCTCGTCAGATTCTTCCATCATGGCTAGTTCCGCTTTCTGTTTTGTCCAAATGTGGTCAAACATCGGTAGAGATGACTTGTACTCTGTTAAGGATCAGTTACACATCATTGAGAGAGCGATTATTGGGTATGTGAGTGAGTTTAGTTTTATGCCACACTCTGCAATACTCCAGCTATATGGCGGCGATCTGTAAATAATCTAGTCTGGGCTACTATGACGACTGGGCGACCCCACCGCCCCATAACAGTCTGGAAGAACCGAGATATTGAAAAGCAGTAAATGAATTATTTCAGAAACCATTAATAAATTAATTATTTCAGAAACCATGCCGGCAATGGTCGGCACCAAATAACGGCAGGTCATTGAAATTATCGAAATACAGCAGGTGAGCGGATGAATAAATTAAAATGAACATGTGATGTAATTACTGTTATGTGACATGAAGTGAGTGAGTATGATTTGACAAGGTATTTATAAATCTTCTGGGGCCGTGGGGTAGCTTAGCGGTTAAAGCGTTCGCTCGTCACGCCGAAGACCCGGGTTCGATTCCCTTCATTGTATGAAGCCCATTTCTGGTGCACCCCGCCGTGATATTGCTGGAATATTGTAAAAGCTGCGAAAAACTTAACACACTCACTCACTAGAAATCTTCTAGGGTTATCACAGTTGGAGGCGGCACCGGAAGTGGGGAATTTCATGTCGCGACTTCACCTTCTTTGACTTGTATTGATGACAAAACAATAGTAACATGTCCCTACCTGATGGTTCGAAGGACGTCGGGCTCGGGGCACCGTCGCTGAGGCTGCTGTGGATGCTTGTTTCGCCGTCACTGTTGCAGTCTGTGCCAACAATCTCGTCCAGGAACGACAAGTCCTCCAACTCCAGAACAACTACAACAACAAATATGGTCATAGAAAATTGAATGGGTGATTGTTTTACATCAGAGTCAGAGGTCTCACGGCTGTATGTAAATAACTGTAACGGGGCGATGGGGTAGCCTAGTGGTTAAAGCGTTCGCTTGTCACGCCAAAGATCCGTGTTCGATTCCCATTATGGGTACAATGTGTGAAGCCCATTTCTGGTGTCCCCCGCCGTGATATATTACTAAAAGCGGCGAAAAACTCAAACTCGTTCGCAATAACTGTAACGTTAAATGCAGGGGGCATGAGGTATGTGGGGCGTCATGACATCGACAGGTTGGGGTCACGGAAATTATGGGGGAGGGAGGGTAGCGTCGGGCGAGGGCATTTAAAAATGAGACAGTTTGAGTTTTACAAACATTTTTTTTAAATGGTGATGGTGAGGGTGGAAGGTTGTCTCAAGAAATGTTAGTCCTATGACCAACCCTCCCTCCCCCCTCCAAACCACCCCGATAACAAATGACCAGTCCCTAAGTACGGTTTATTTACTCTACACGAGGCACACAATAGGTGACCTATCTATCGGTCATGTCAATGGCTCATTTCCTACTAGATGTAAACGAGGGAAGAATGATGGACACAATAGGGAAATACTGACCCCAATAAGGAAACGGTATTCCGTAAAGACAATATTGATGCGTCCTTGTCTCTTAATTAAGGGACATCATTTCTGAGACAAAGGCACGAGAACGCTGTCGGCGGAAAATGTCGCCAAGGAAACACTTACCGCTTTGATTGTCGTCTTCGCTGTCGGCCGAGACTTGGGGCACCTCGGGAAGGTCAGTCATCCAGTCTGAAATTTCGGAAGTTGAATTATTTCCCACAAATCTATAGATCTGGTAACTTTGTCATTGTTAACCAGAATTATTTTTGGACACGCATATAATGACCTTGAAATGAGCTTTTGTCCCACATTTCAGACAAAATGTTTTAGCAACTCAGTTGACGCACAAATATCTATTTTCTGTTGTACGCGGAATATATACTCATGCCAATAATGGTTGTCACCCCCTTCAATTTTTTTAATTGGAGAGGCGGTGTGAGGTGTGTGTGAGGTTGGGGTGGGGAGGGGAGGGGGGTGACAACCATTATTGGCATGAGTATAATTAGAATTTTTTAAAATATATTGTGTTTTAATGTTGTTTTCTACTAATTTCAGTATCAAGGAAATACTCGCTTTACATCGTGTGTTTAGGAAAGAAGGTGACAATTGACTTTTATGATTATTTTTTACTTTATCCAACCGACATGTTCTTCATAGATCATATTAAAAAAAAAGATTTTTTTCTCGAATTTGAAAACCCCCCAAAACAATCTGAACGTAAGCCGAAAGCTTTATATCACGGTTGCCGTGGTCGGGGTGATGGTAGCCTAGTGGTTAAAGCTCTCCCCCATCACGGTGAAAGCCCGGGTTCGATTCCCCGGATACAAGGTGTGAAGCCAATTTCCTTTGTGCCCCATTGTGTTATATTGCCGGGATATTGCTGAAAGCGGCGTTAAACCCAACTCACTCACTCACCCTGAAATGTGTCATATGTGTATAGAAGGAAGCGCAACTGATATTAAAACTTCTACTTCAAGAACCCATTTTCACACGTCGGGTAGATTTATGTAATTACACGAAAACAAACTGTCCATGATTATAATACGAAAATACATGTTGATTCAAAAAATTCATTTGTAATTTTAATTTCTTGCCATATTGTTCGTAAAATTCATATAATTTGCCAGTCAATTTAATCAAATGATCTATTTTTAATGCCACAGACAACATTTGCATTCAAAATTCAAAATTGCAATTCATTTCCTTGACAGCCTGACCAATACACAGACCGTCCAATGTGGGAAGTCTTCGGACGATGTTGCAGGAAAACATTCGCAGCTATTGCTGACAAAAACGTAACTGTTGTTACAAAATATCCCCGATTTTCCGGTGACACGGATCAAGGGAAGATCAATCATGAAAAATGACAGCTCCGTTTGGCTATTGAGAGGTGGCTGACAGCCCACGTGACCTCCATACACACGAAATGCTGGTTCCCTAACAACCACTCTTCCTGCTTCGCGAATGTGGAAGGCTTCCCTTGGCATTATTATTCATTCTGGCTACGTCACAAGACCTCAGACGCTTTTCGTATGTTAGTTATTGTCACGTTTTCTTCATGGGTCAAAAATAACGAATTATTCTCAGTCAAATCTTGGCAACACATCGTTTTTATTCGCTATTCACACTTTCCATTACACTTCCTGACAACCGTTGGGTTTGAAAGTCTAAGGATAAATTTGTTTTACTTTTTTAAAAGCAAGCTGACATGTGTTTTTTCGACTCCAGCTGATGGTACGACGCAATGAGACATATTACTGCTCAATACGTCTCCGATATATCAAACCTGGCTTTTACATTTGACGAAGATAAAGTAGTGAGTTAAACTTTAAAGTCGCATCGACATTATTTCAGCGAGTCTAAGTAAATATATAAGTATCTGATTTATCTGTCACCTGTTATCGTCACTGACAACATTTGTAAGATAACCATAATGTTTACGGATTTCATATAAAATAATTAAACTCACCGCTGATATATCGTTCCTCGCTGGCTGCTAGTATCGTGTAGGTGGGGTGCTGATAATCAGACATCTCGGGGTAGCCGGAGCTGAGGCCAGTCTCGACGCATCCGCCGCCAGGCTGCATTGACTCTGAAGGCATAATGATCGTATTTAGTTCAAACTGGTCGCCTTAAATGCCTTTTCAAATATTAGACTTATAAATATGCACTGTTATCAACCCATATTGTTTCCATAAGGAGTTTCCTTATATATTGCATCAATATTGCTAATTAATGATATCGTTGATTGTATGCGTCTGTCCCATATCAGTTCACAAAGCATACAAATTCTAATTTTAATAGATACTGTTATCACTCTTTCCTTCTCCTTAAAATAAATAGTCGTACCTGCCCCGACGTTAAATCAATTTACACGCAAGGATAAACAGTTGTATTTCAGTGTGCATGGTTCAGTTATCAGTTATCAGTCATATGTAATATGGAGCGAGTGAGTATGGTTTTACGCCGCTTTAAGCAATATTCCAGCAATATCACAGCGGTTGACACCAGCAATGGGCTTCACACACACACATTCTACCCATGTGGGAACTGGAACCCGGGGTCTTCGGCGTGACGAGAGAACGCTTTAACCACCAGGCTACCCAACCGCCCCTATGTAATATATAACTTATATCAGCTACTTCAATATAACCAATGACCGCCGAAATGGAACTGACATTGCTGTCAAGAGTCCGTCGCAATTTAGGAGGCGACTAACGGGATCGGGTGGTCAGGCTCGCTGACTTAGTTGACACATGTCTCGTACCCCAATTGCGTAGATCGATGCTCATGCTGTTGATCGCTGGATATTCCGGTCCAGACTCGATTGTTTACAGAAGGCCAGCCATATAGCTGGACTATTGCGGAGTGCGGCGTAAAACTAAACTCACTCACTATTACGAAGTGATTATGTGAGTTCGTTACAACCATAGTTTACTATACTGTACTTTCATTAGTAGGCATGAGATCAATAACAGTCTGGAAGAACCGAGATACTGAAAAGCAGTAAATGAATTATTTCAGAAACCACACGATGTAGAGTCCCTAACTGCCGGGACCTCCTCCGTGGTGTAGTGGTTAGAGCGCCCGCCCGGAGAGCCAAACAAACAGTCGGAAAATATCGGAAGCGATCGGTTTCCTTACCTCTGATTGCTGCAGCAAGGTCTTCTAACGTTGCTTCGGTTTCGTTTATCATCGGTGGCATATGGCTCTGGTAGTGTCCGAATGTCTGACTAAACTCGGGTAGAGCTGTGTGCGGGAACTGTCAACAGAAATACAAACAAAGGCTAATGAGACGAACTTTGCTGCAAAATCTGCTGCTTGTCAAGATGCTCCAGACAGTTTTCTTTACGATAGTGAGTGAGTTTAGTTTTACGCCGCTATTTAGCAATATTCCAGCAATATCACGGTGGGGGACACCAGAAATGGGCTTCACACATTGTACCCATTAGGGGAATCGAACCCGGGTCTTCGGCGTGAAGAGCGAATACTTTAACCACTAGGCTACCCCACCGCCCTCTTTACGAGATCCATTCAGAATATCACTATGTATCTTTGACACCACAGGTATCATCGTTGCGTAGGGTAGCCTAGTGGTTAAAGCGTTTGCTTGTCATGCTGAAGACCCGGGTTCAATCCCCCACATGGGTACAATGTCGTGATATTGCTGAAAAAGCGGTGTAAAACTATACTCACTCACTCACACACATTGGTATCATCAGGTAAGGGATCATTGTTTTCTGGCCTTGTCTATTGTTATATCGCTTTGAGCATGCACCTGGTGAATGGATACAGCGCTTTATAAATTATATATTATATTATTATTACAACTGTCATCATCATCATCATCATCATCATTATAGACGTTGACGGTCACGTCTCCGAGATTAACAAGCTACAAGTGTAACTTAATATTTGAATATCTGAAACATCGAATTGTGTTGGTTGTTATCCTTGTATATTCAATTTCACTTTAGCCAGCCAAACTATTACACGCATATATCAACGTTCATTATGGGTGTTCATTACAACAGAAAGAGGCATGTTTATAAACACCGACGTGTGGAGTCCATCACTCGGAACACTGGTGAACCGTCGTCTAGCTAAGATACATAGCGTTCACTAACATGACTGACTGACTGAGTTTGGTTTTACGCCGCTTTTAGCAATATTCCAGCAACATCACGGCGGGGGACACAAGAGATGGGCTTCACACATTGTACACATGTGGGGATTCGAACCCGGGTCTTCGGCGTGACGAGCCAACGCTTTAACCATTAGGCTACCCCACGGCCCCTCACTAACATGAACGCTTATCTTAGCTAACCGTCGTCACACGTTTACTGATTAACGTCACAACTCATCCGTTATATTTGGGTTACGTTCAGAAAAAGGCAATATTCTGATTCATTCTTAGTTAGAATCGACTTTTCAACCGGATGTCCGTATGTCCGATCTGTACAATATGGGCTAAAGGTTAGTTACAGTAGCTCAGTATATGCCGCGGGGAGACTGGCATGTGGGCGGATGCACGTTGGATGTTTATGCTAATTATATACATAATGGGAAATTGGAGCTGACTGTGTGCAAAGCCGAGTCATACCTAATTGAATTACAGGAGGTCTTTGTTGGAAGTGTATCCTGATGTAATGAAATTGTAATTTTATCTAACTTCGTAAAATTGATACATTGTTTGACGTTGTGAGCACAGGGGTTTGTAACGAAATAAAATGGTGTCAGGGTACATGTATATATTGTCGTCTCCGTGGTCTTAGTACTGGATAGAAGTGAATGAGTGGGTGAGCGAGTATAGTTTTGCGCCGCTGTTAGCAATATTCCAACAATATCACGGCGGGGGACACCAGAAATGGACTTCACACATTGTACCCATATGGGGAATCGAACACGGGTCTTCGGCGTGACGAGCGAACGCTTTAACCACTAGGCTATCCCACCGCCCCTCTATATAAAAGGAACGGGATGTAACGAAGTGAACGCCGTGCTCGTGTAAGGAAGAGGACCGGGGTTGTCGTTGTGACGAAGCATTTTAACGACTATAATTACTCCACCGTCCCACAAATGTTTGGATGTGTTTATTGTTGTTAATAAATACATGTATGAAATATTCCTGTCTCCATTAGGCGACACATATGTTTTTGTTTTTTTTGGTATACTGCCAAACGAGGGCGATGGGGTAGCCTAGTGGCTAAAGCGTTCGCTCGTCAAACCGAAGTCCCGAGTTCGATTCCCCAGATGGGTACTATATGTTTGAAGCCCATTTTTGGTGAACCTTGTGTAATATTGCTGGAATATTGCTTAAACGGCGTAAAACCAGACTCACTCACAATTGCTAACATTCAGCAAGGAAACAACTAGCCACTGATACCATAACCATCGTCAGGTTTTTATCAAGCCTGACTGGCCGAACCATTTAGTCATCTCGTATTTCAAGCCTAGGTTACTGGATATCGCTTCTAGCCTGAAATCCAGGGGCAACACAAGTGGTCGACTGCTAATAGAAACGATAGGCTGTTAGCATCCTTGCACTGCAGAGGGTTTATGCTGCATAGGAAACCTCATGAGTGTAGTTGGTGGGAAACCAGTGAAGATCAGGGTTAGAATTGATCTTCAGCAACCTATGCTTATCGTAAGAGGTGACTTACGGGGTGGTCGGGGTGGTCAGGCGCATATCGATGCTCATGTTATCAATCACTGGATTGCCTGGCCAGACTCGATTGTTTACAGACCGCCGTCATACAGGTGGAACATTGCTGAGAGCGGGCTTACACCACAGTGAGTGAGTATGGTTTTACGCCTCTTTTAGCAATATTCCAGCAATATCACGGCGCGGGACACCATGTCGGGTCTACGGCGTGACGAGCTAACGTTTTAACCACTAGGCTACCCTACCGCCCACCTTACACAACAAACGCACCCACCTGTGTAACCCTACTTGGCGGTTAAGTCAAGCGGTACAAACGGATCTGGAGGCCGTTGATTTGTATATAACTTGTACAGAGTTGTGTCCCTTGGTCACGCCAGAAACCTCGTGGGTTCGAATCCCGGTTTGTCAGCACCATACCCTTGATCGTGGGTTTCACCGAAGTGGTAAACGTGTGAAACACGCGTCACTTCAGCCTTTTCTGGGTCGGTGGGGTAGCCCAGTAGTTAATGCGTCCGCTCTTCACGCTGAAGACCCGCGTTCGATTCCCAACAATGTATGAAGCCCATTTCTGGTGTCTCTCGCAGTGATATTGCTGGAATATTGCTAAGTGCTGCGTAAAACTAGACTCACTCACACACTCACTTACAGCAACATGAAACAATCAAGATGTCCTTAATTTCTTTCGTTTAGCCCATATTGCCGTTCTATGCATGACCGAGACTACATTACAGTACAATATACAGTGTCTCTTTAAGATACCATACAATTGTATAGCTCACTCACTCACTCATTCAGGCTTTACAACACAATCACGATGTCACGCCGCGACTTAACCGAAATGGTTTCAAACCGGTGGTAAACCAAACTCACCATTTTAACAAAATAGTCAATTTAGTCGATTGCTCTACGAATAAAAATAACTGAAATATATACTTACAGGGACTGTTACCGCTGCCATCCTGAGATCTTTGTTGCACCTGAAACAAAACCCACACATATCATATCGTTAATTATCATGTTAACAGTACCGTTACCTTCAGAAGGCCGTCCGTGGCGTATAGTAGTGGTTATAGAGCGTCCGCCCGGAGAGCGGATGGTCGCGGGTTCGATCCCCGTCCGCGTCATACCAAAAGGCGTTAAAATATGGTATTTGTTGATCCAAGCCTGGCGCTCGGCATTAGTGGGTACAACAAGGACTGGTCGGTTCGGAGTCAGTATAATTTGTCTAAGTGGGGTATTCATGCTTCACTACGACATGGTATCTCAGTGAGCTAGCACTATAAACCAGCTTTAGTCTGGGCTAGTACAAGCAGCCACACATACAAGTAGCCACACATACACACGCATACACGTCGTCAAATGAGCGAAATATTCTCAAATACGACGTTAAATCCCATTCACCTCACCTCACCTCACCTCACCTCACCTCACCTCACCCTTACCTCCAAATAACGAAATGACACGGGAAGATTTAGTCGATAATATTCTAAGAAAACAACGCATCGGTTCAGGTGCTCCTTAGCTGTACCCGACATTTTCATTGACTGGATTTCTTACCTCGCGTGACGGTTCAGAGTATTTGTCTGTTACGAGATACACATGCACTCCACTCCAGTGACACAACCATATTGGTGAAGGTCAAGGATGAGAGGCGACGCTGGGTTTCTTACAGGGGAATTCCGATTCTAAATATAACTTCCTTTATGGGGTGAGCGTCGGCGAATGACGGAGTTACTCGGGAGGAGGTGTTTCTCAGAACTAGTTCAGATACCAGCATGCAGGGGCACAGCGTGACGATATGTAATAGATTCAAGGTCATGCGATAAGAAGTTTGGTGAAATAAACATTGTTTAATGGATTTCGTCACGCGGTTTCTGTTTTCGGACAGCCCCTGTGAGTGAAGGCGGGAAAACCAAGACGACATGTCATTTTTAATGTATGTACCGAAAACATGTGACATATCACGCGTAAAAGGTGATCACATGGCCCAGATGATGTATGAAGTCATGTAAACTGATATACGGTTTATATATGGGCAGGGATATGTGTATATGTATAGAGAGAATATAAAGAGGGAGGATAAGTATAAAATATTATGAGAGAGTAGAGAGAGGAAAGAGAGAGAGAATTTAGGAGAGAGGTGGAGGAGAGAGATAGAGAGGAGGGAGGGAGGTGTGTGTATATGTAAAGAAAGCAGGAAAGAGAGTAAGAGAGAGATAGAGAGAGTGTAGGAGGGAGAAGGGGAGTGGGGTGGAGAGAATAGATAGTAGGGGGTATGTAATAATATGTATGGACAGAGAGACAGAGACAGACAGAGGGAGAGTGGAAGAGATAAGTATATATGTATGGAGAGAGAGTAGGAGGGATATGTACATTTGCATGGAGAGAGAGAAAGAGTTTGGAGAGAGAGAGAGAGAGAGAGAGAGAGAGAGAGAGAGAGAGAGAGAGGAATATGTATATGTGTATGAAGCAAACACAAACACCCAGTCCTCACTGACGCACCAATTTCTCTGGAAATGGTTGGACATAGGACCGCACCCTTATTGCCTTACACAGCCACAAATAACACTATATTGCTCTTGAATAACATCCATTATACTTGAGTTGCAAAGACCCCACTGGGTGAAATATTGTCCCGGATATCCTACTACAAATACATATACACAATGAGGGCCATTGGTCTTATAATCTGGGCTCTAAATGGGGATTACTAACGTCCAAGTTGTCCCCTTTGAATTGAGTTACTTGGAGAAGAGACGTTGAACGTCTATAATAAACATAACTCTTAGAAGCTATTAGACGCGATGTTACATAAAAGCGTGTTTAATCTGACCACTGCTATAATCGTAGTATATATGTTCGTTTAAATTTAAGGCTCAATTTGTCTAAATTGCCAACAGCTGAGGGGATGATGTAAATCCAGCTTGGGTCCATGCAGGTAGCAAAAGTACTGTAAGTCCCTATGGTCCCTAGGATAGTGATCTAACCTCAGTTGTTGGCAACCTATGTATTGTATTGTTGCAGATGGAAATAGTGTTTTATGGTTATATGCTAGTTTTAAGTGGAAATCTGTGATAGACTAATTATTGTCCTTTGCTGACAGGTACGCGTATTGGTCACAATCATCCCTTCCCCATAATCGTCCCACCTTCATCCAAACTGGTATACTCAGTGATATATCTGATAGTGTTTCTTCGTCCCTCGCCCCCCTATCCCTGGCAACCCGTGAAGGTCCGGGTTAGAATATTGATCTTCAGTAACCCATGCTTGGCGTAAGAGGCGACTAACGGGATCGGGTGGTCAGGCTCGCTGACTTGGTTTGACACATGTCATCGGTTCCCTGCATGGCATCTCATTATTACCTCGGACTGTTACAAGCTGCCACTCACCCACAAACGCACGCCAGCCCATCCGCACGCACTTACGCACTCATCTTCAACACATTAAACCCTTCTTCAGCTCAACACATATGAAACTGTTGTACTAATTCTCTGCAATAATTTACATAATTTTCAGTGTTACACGGATTAACAGATTGAGGTGACAGTCTCAAAACACATTCGCATCAAATACAGGAAGCAGCACACGCCAGGGCCAGTGTATGGCTCGGTACGATAAGCGGGGCTCCAAACAAAGTTCATGGTCTACGCAAATTCCTGGGATGTCATATCCGGCAATGTCCCCATTTGGTGCAAGCATTAACCCGAGGGTCGCCCAGATAAGACGGCACGCACTTCCTGATTCAGGCCGTGCATGACATTACAAGACGCCGCGACACACTATACCGCGTCTTGACAATACACTATACAACCCACGCTATCTGTATCTGTCTATAGTTTTTGCAAACTGATTTAGTGGCGCAACAGATCGCTTAGCAGTTATTGTTCGCTATGGGCGCCATAAACCTATGATCGCGGGTTCTAACCTTATATTCTCCATGATGATATTTCTAGCTTTGGCAGAGAGAGCGAGTGAGTTTACTTTTACGCCGCTTTTAAAAATGTAAACAACAAAATATTACAGCATTATTACTGCGGGGGACACCAGAAATGGGCTTCACACATTGTACCCATGTGGGAAATCGAACCCAGGTCTTCGGCGTGACGAGCGAACGATTTAACCACTAGGCTACCCCACCGCCCCCTAGCTTTGGCAGAACAGTTCATGGTTTCACAAAAGTGGTTAACTAAAATACTGGAACATGCATTAAACTAAAATTACTATGATTTGTGTCAGTGCATATATCACCGACCTGTAAACGGACACAACGACCATTTCCCTTCCGCCCAAAGGAAGCCATACAATCTAGTCATTCGTTGATACATACCGTTGATATATCCAACTGGCATGGAAATTGCATATCTGGCATGTGGACATTTTGCCCTGTGTTAAGATTGAGTTTAAACGTAATACGATGGGAATTGTATATCTGACATGCAGACATTTTGCCTCGAGTTAAGTCTGAGTTTTAACGTAATACGATGGGAATTGTATATCTGGCATACAGTCATTTGCCTCGTGTTAAGATTGAGGTTTAAAGTACTACAATGGGCGACGCCATCAGGGTATAGTCAACGTGTTCAAAGAAATCACCCTAACTGCCGAATGCATTACAAGGTTGCTTTCAGCTTGAACTATGCGGACGTGTTGGGTCGGTGTAACCCGCTACCCCTACTTGCATTTTTTGCTTGTCGGGTGACCCCAGTGAGCATTGATTTACGGTTTGTTAGCATTAAGTCACAGTCTCTTTCAGCAGTCGATGTGCAAGCTGAACCTCTGATTGTTGGTGCGAACAGGTAACGTAATACAGGAGTCAAAAGCTGCCAATCCCCCCAATCCAAACCCTCCCCACCCCTTAGCTTAAATGCATTTATAGAGATTGGTTGACATGAGGGTGGAAATTACTATCGGATTGTAAGAGCAGGGGGCAGACGCGACCCTGTTGAAATCCTAGCAATATATTAAAGACGTAGTTTCGAAGCTACAGCATCAATGACGTCGGAGTCTTTCAAAGTTTCAAGTTTTCAAAGTCTTTTTGCAAGCGACGAGGGTGGTGCGATAGCTTCGTGGTTAGGGCGTTCGCTCGTCATGGCGAAGACCCGGGTTCGATTCGCCACATGGGTACAATGTGTGAAGCCCATTTCTGGTGTTCCCTGCCGTGATATTTCTAGAACATCGCTAAAAGCGGCGTAAAACCTAACTTACTCACCCACTCAAAGCGACGATCCAGTACAGAAACTCAGAGTTTCTTAATACAAGCATCTTCACTGAGACGTCATCGAAACAAAGGAGGAATTGAAATCTTAATCGAAACTTGTCCTCAGTCCAAGCAACGCTGGTGCATTGTGTTTGTGACGTTACTCAGTTATGCTAGTCCAAGAATCATCATCATAATTACACAGATTGAGTGAGTTTAGTTTTACGCCTCTTTCAGCATTATTCCAGCAATATCAGGGCGGGGTACACCAGAAATGGGCTTCACACATTGCACCCATGTGGAGAATCGAACCCGAGTCTTCGGCGAACGCTAAACTACTAGGCCACCCGCCGCCCCTTTAATTACACAGAGACACTGTATTAGTTTAAAGAATCTAACGTTGATCCCTTTCCTGGACATGAGAACTGTACCTCTTTAACCAAGCAACAAATTAGAACACCAGTGTTATTTAACACTCTGCTATAAATAACCATTTACTTGAAGATGCATGATAGGAAATGTACCAAAATGTTCGGATCAAAATATGCTCAAGACCCTCTCTTATCACAGCGATAATGTCACGCACATCAACTATGACTGCGTTATCTCATGGCTTTTGTTTGCATAGTAGCCGGAGAACACATAATAGTGTTACTTCAGCCATAGATAACACACGCGTTCATCTAGTGTAATCGCACCCATATCCTACTTGTCATATGCCTATAACAGCCACCTTGTTGATCGAATCGGCACAACCTGGTTTTAATAATGAATATTGAG